GTGTGTTCCAAGTTCTTTTGAACGTACACAACGGTATATTATAATTATTACACAAGCGGTTTGGTATGCATTGGTATTTACACGCGTGCGTTTCTACAATGCTGCGCAGACGTATAGTGATTTTCGTTAACCCGATACACATGCGGATGGGCCCACCGGGAAATTGGAATTTTTCCGGTAAGCCCTCGCCTATGTGTAATGTTGAGGCCCCTCCCTGACTTCAGTCCCATGAACTCCAGTCTAGGGTCTAGAATCTATAATATATATAAGCTATATTAAATTTCAGTTCCATATAACTACATCATACAAATTACAAATATCAGCTTGAATTTTAATTATAATTAAAAATTGTTATGAATTACAAATTACAAATGAATCTTCGATTGGAACTGACAGTGTTAACAGCTAAGTTATCGTTATCGTGTGATACGAATTTCCAATCGATCTGGGTAATGCTGTAAGGTTCAGCGCCCACCAAAGTAATATGATGCGTGATCTGAAGAGTGATATGACCAATAAGCAACAAGTAATTTATGTGACTCGCACCAAAATGACATGGTTCTAATGACAAGTTATTTCTATGTTCTTTTATTTTAATTTGCCAAAATGTCGTCTGAGGATGAAGACGTTCTTGCTGCAATAAATTTAGTAAATTATATAAATTACAATCAAGGTTCTACTGTGCGCAAATACTGAGTCCATCCATTTTGGCGAAAAAATTGCTATTATAAACATATATCACTATATTGTATACTCCGTACTTAAAGAGCTAGACGATCCTGATCGTTTTAAAAGTTTTTATAAAATGGATAAACCGACATTTGAAGAGTTGTTTAGGTTAGTTGGACTAGATATTCAGAAAAGAGACTTTTTACTTTGTAGCACACGTTGTCAACCTATCGACGTCTATGCACTTCTCCACGTGACAAATGACAAAAAGTAGTACAAGCCCTATTATTTTGTGCGACAAGTAACAACAATATTACACATGATCTGACATATCGAATTAGTGAGCGCGATTAAGTGATTTTCCGTTATAATTATAAATAAAATTTTACGAATGACACGTTACTAACACGTTACTTGTCATATCACTCGTCAGATCATGCATCATGTTACTTTGGTTGACGCTACGCCTTATGGACATGATATTTTGCTTCCATATTTCCATGTATTTAGTTATAAATATCAACTTGATAACAAAATCATTTAGATTATTATTATTGTTTTATTTTTAGTTTTGGGTTTATTAATATTATTTGTTCGTGTAATTGATAACTTGTGCCTACAAATTACTATGGTGGACATTATGTCGTTCAGTCGTTGTTTATAAATTTTAATGCAGTCTCAGTAATAATTTTATTATTTTTATTCGTAATTATAAATCATTTCTACTTGCGATTATCAACTATACCAAGAAAATTTGAAAGTTGTTCTTCGAAGAGAAAACGGAAAGATTATGAACTATTATGCAAAATATCAAATGACAGAACCCAGAAAAAACTTTATTTCTCCAATTCCAAAGGTAGCTTGGTTAAAATAAAAAATTTCATTAATTTTCATCTAAGAAACAAGTATCAACATTTTAATAAATACATAATATTATGATTTTAGTATTTTATATTCACTAATATTTATAATTATTTATATGGAAGAAATGTATTTTAGAACTTGCATTTATACATTAATAAATAATATAAAAAAATAGTTGATTTAATTTTTGTACCTATTTGATTTTAAATTATTTATATATATATATATTTATAATGTTCACAGACTCATTCATGTACCAAATTTTGTAAAACTGCATGGCCCCCTTGATAATTCCTTGGCGTTCAAATATGAGAATTATTTAGGATTTCTAAAAAAAGATTACAAAAAATGGTAGTTATCTCGGCATTCGTATAACAGGTGATCTACCGAGTAGTGGGTGATCTACGTTTTAATAGTATAAAAACACATTATATTTTTTACTACGAGTACGTCATATCATACATACGTCAAATATAAAAATAAAAAATAATTATCCAAATATATCTAATTATAATTTTAATTACAGTTAACATTTTTAGTATCATTTAAAAATATTAAAAAAGTATTTTGAGGATTAACTGATCTCCACCATGCTTCAATCAGATGACGATATAAGAGTTCCGATGTAGTGTCATGCATTTTTCGAAGTATTTTCATTTTAAGATGTGACCAAACGCATTCTATTATCTGATTGTTGGCTGCTGTTAACGGGTCGAGAAAGTTTTCAGAATGGTTTACAGTCAAGTAATTATAAACTAAATTTGGTAATATTTTTATGATTTCCATTCATCTGATATGATTGTTGTTCCTGGAAGTATTTCTTTTTCAATTATTGAAGTAAGTGTAATTCTATCTAGACGTTCAACAACAAAAAAACATTTTTCAAGAAAACCATCATACCGCCAACATATTCTAAAAACCCAAGGTCCTTCTAATCGTTTGCTATGATTTCTATTACTGTTATCAGGAGGAATATTTTCAGAATCAGAATCTGAGTTTGAATTATCGTCATCCGTTAAATTTGCACCTTTATGATCATCCAGTAGAATCCTGCCTCTATTATATTTCCTTTTTCCTCGTAGTAATGACTCGTCAATTTGAACACATTCATTAGGTCCACCCATAGGTTTCCGATTTTCATAAATACTACAACACACATCGTGGCATTAATTGTATCAGTTTACTACTGTTTTATTAGAACGTCCAGTAAGCCGACAAACGTTTACAATACTCATGTCTTCTGACCAGCAAAAAACTAACTCTAAAAGTTGTCCCAGCGAAAGTTTAGAATTACATTTATTATTCAAATCCGTATAAGTAAAAAATGTATTGTCTCGACGCAGGGACTAGAATGTTTGGCATCCTTTTTTAACGCATCTTAAACTTCGGTACACACATTGTTCACCAGAAACCAGTCTTTTTTTTTTCTGATCATAATGTTTGTTTCAGAATCACATTTTTTACAATTTTGCGTTTCACTGTCATTTGAAAGTAAATTGTGAAGTTGTAAAAAACTTACAGTTGATTTTTCATCAACAATTATTTATAAAATTCAGATGCACGCATTACAGAAAAAATTCCGATCAACGAACAATTTGAAACTAACCTATTCAGCAACTGCTAATGACTCGTAATTATATTGTAAATGTATTCGTCTATGTAAATGTCATTAATCGTTATCGCAATACTGCGTATAATAATAGTATGATATAATATAATACAGTAGATCATCTGCTACACCTAAAAAGAGGCTGTAGATCACTTGCTACACAAATGCCGTTATCTCTTAGAAGATATATATAACAGAGTAATTTAATTTAATAGGTTTAATAATTTAAATGCTGACATTACTTATCCAATCTTAAAAAATGAAAAAGATTATAAGGGTCTCTTGTATGGAAATAATTTGTTAGTTATTTATTTTAATTCAATAGTTATACAAAAATTCTCTATATCTTGTAATAGTTTAAAAGATAACACCTTTTTGTTAAATTCAAATGATGTTATTTCAGTAAAAAAATTATTAAATATCCCAACTTTAGTATAATGTTGGAAGTTAATAAATTTCATGAATGTTATGCAATGTTTGATTACCCAATTAAGTCAACTGAGGTAGAATGTTTTTGTGTAAATATTTCAAAAGTATCATCTTATTATTTAATACCTATAGATAAAAATAGTTTGAAAGGTTTTTTTGTTTCTATATCTAACAATAAAGCTATAATGTTTACTTTATTGCGCTTATTGTAAAATTACTTGAATATAATTAAATTTGAATTTTAATTATTTTAAATAAAGTTTTACTATATTTAAAGTGTTTATCGGTTTATATCACGTACATTAGTAAATTTAGTTTTTGTGTAAGAAATAATTACTTTATTTTATTTAAAAACAAAACTATTATTTATTTAGTTTATTAAAAACCATATATATTTTATTTTTTGTGTGAATATATAATATATTTTAAAACTTAAATTTGTTTCAAATGTCATATTAAAATATTACATAATTATAAGTGTTCGGGCCATGTTTTAATTTGCGCGCGTCTTATCAACCACCCGAAACGGAGCGTTTCGACACGCAACGGTCTGAATATGAACGTTGACCGTGCGTCAAAGTTTTTGTGCGCTTCTCACGTGTTTCGTCATCGGTGTGTGTCGTCGCCATTGTTTTCTTTTCTCGGTTTTGTGGCACATATGCCGTTGGTCTTATTGTGGTGTTTTTTTCTTATTTTTGCCGGTACGGAAACGCGCTGACGCATTTGACATCGGCAACCACGGTAATTTTATTTTGTTTGTTATTACATTGGTATTATCTTTCTTGTTAAAATTTAGTTATATATAAAATAACCATTGTTCTATAGATTGGGTCTTTTTCTTTTATTATTTTTTATTATTTATTCCTCTCTTAAAACCAATATTGTTATTATAATACCGATGGTCTATACACCCGTAAATCACAAACGCGGATATAGAAGTCAACAATAAGTTTTAAATCATATTGAGTAGTAAAAAATAATAAATAAATAATAAAATGAAAAAAAAAACATATAGGTATATCTTGTAAATTATGTCTAAATAATAGTTATCATGAATATTATTGTTATTACAAATTTGTTAAGTATTTAAAAATACAATCATTTATAATTATGTAAATTGTAATTATATTTGTATTTGTATTGTGTATATACTCTAGATAAATAAACTTTCGTCGAATGAACAAATTATTTTAAACAGATCATTGCTTGACACGATTGTATAGATCTCACAGTTGAACAGAAATATATTTACTCTTTTTATTTGCACACCCTAATAAGAGTTCAGGGTCTTAACTGTCTCAGCAAATAAATGCTATATCCACGAGTTTCTATGGTTATGAGTACCTATAAACATGATAAATAGCTAATGTCGATTTCGGAAAATAGTGTTTAGAAAGAAATCCATCTCTGCTCAATTATAACAGACACCATGCAAGCATTGAAGATTGTATTGTTTTCGGTTTCCGTCGCGTTGATCGAATCTAACTCGTCGACAACTGAAGAAAACCCATGGCGGATTGCCAATGGTGATGATTTCATACCCGAAAAATATCCGTACGTAGTTGGTTTTTTAGGGCATCTTGAAAATTCAAGTACGATTTGCACGGGCACTCTGGTAACGGCATTGTTCGTGCTGACCGCTGCTCACTGCACTGATGGACTGAAAGCATCTAATATTACGGTAAACCACGTGGTTTAAAAAATATTACAAATCCTTATTCGTATATGCTACATAATACACTATAATGACCATGTCAACAGATACATCTTGGAAGTTTAAATGGTGAAGGTGTGGGTGTTGAGAAATATTTCCAACACGAAAAGTACAAAATCTTCGAGAAATCTGATGTGTCTTTGCTGAAAGTAAATATAACTACTTGTTTTCAATTCTACCGACATGACATTTCAGCATTACAGAAATACCGTCGTGTGTATCATTCACCATAGCTAAAACTGTGGTGTTAACCGTATAATTACTTCCACTGTGCAATAATTTGTCCTAGAAATGTTACCAGGCGGTTTCAATGAAACATGGAACATTGCAATCTATATTAATTTTGCGTTAAAGTAACGTCTATGTAACTGTAAATATTCCATATTGCTATGCTTCAATTTGAACACCACTCTAAAACATCCATCCAACAACCAATTGTAACACTACAGTATATTATCAAAAAAAAAAGGCAACAACTATTATATTCCCGAGACACATGCGGGTATGATTCGAACTTTATACCGTGCAAATCTAATGACCTAACCTAACCTACGCCTATCGACCTACTTACCTACTAAGATTGCATACATATGTAAAATGAATGTTTATAAACAGGACTCGGAAGTTGTAGCACTAAAAATGTTACTTTTTAGCTCTTAAATATGTACTTAAAAGCTCTAAAATTTGCGCTTTAAATAGCACGAAAAATAAAAAAATATGTATTTAACTTGAAAAAATTATAAATTTATTAGAAAAAAAATGTAATTTTACAAAGTTTTTAACTCATAGACACATTTTGGACTGATTGAATTATAAACTGTTAACAAAAATGTTAAATTACTTAAATATATTTATAAAAATGTACGTATTATTAAATTATTTTATATATTTATCTTGGAAATTATTCTGTATTGTAAAAGTGTTTAATAATCTAATGTAATGATACAATAAAGAAATAACAATGATGTCACTAACTATTAATACATCAAATTGTCGATAAAAACATAAAATAATAATTGACGAGATCTATTTATTTCCAATAATTCATGTATTTTTAAAAATATAACCAAGTAAATACCATTAATATCAACAAAATGTGATTACTTCCTGTATTATATGAAAATATACCCAAAAATAGCATTATAAACCCCAAATTAGCAAAATAGCAATGAAACCCGTAAATATGCAAAAAATAGCAAAATTAGATTTTGTGTATGATATCCAAGTAGTTTGAAACATATTTGAATCTTACTTTGGATGTTCTAGAATGAACCAAGAAAAATATTCAATTGCTAGAACTTCCTAGCCCTGTTTATAAACAATGAAATCAGAAATCCAATAATTTTAAAATTTACGAATAATAGCATTATTTATAAATACTTGTAAATAAAATTAATATTTATAAATCATTAGCAATAATAGTAACAAACCTATAATAATAACAATTATTTTAATAGTTTTTTTTTTTTAGATACCTTCTTTAAAAAATTTAATAATTTATCCTACCAAATTTTAAATACTAGAATTATATGATTTTTGTTAGTACTAAAAAATTTAAATTATGTTTAACATTATTTTTTCTATAACAATAATGGTATACTTTACCGTCTTTTGTATCTAGTTTTTACAATAGTTTTTATAACCCATCTACCAAAAAATTTTAAAATTTTGTGTAAAATATCATGAAATGGAGGGTGATATTACATATAGAGTGGTATACAGTAGTTGGATTAATCCTTGAATTTTTCACCTTTTAACTAGGTACCTATTTTAATGATAACTATTATAACTAGCTAACATAATTTTAAGACCCATAGTTTATTTAGATTTTTTTTCGATATATTTTATACTTGTTTCATAACAAAACATTTTATTTTTTACTAAATTATATTATTATATATATATATACCATTCAATATAATTTTTTTTATTGAAAACAAGTTTAAAAAAAGGTTAATTAATTACTTTGCATGTTACAAATACTTAATAGCTAATTATTGTTCTTGTATATTTACACTATATAAATAAAAATATGCCAACCAATAGGTAGGTAATAATGAATAACAACACATAGTAAAGCATATGGGCCATGAGTATTAACAAAAATAGGAAGATGGACTAAACTGTGAACGTTATACGTAAAAAAATGTGAACCATATAAAAAACCATAATCAGTAACAAGTTTTTTAAGAAACTTTGATGCTTTATATTTAGTTTTATATTTTTGACAAGTTTCAGAACAGGCTAAAATTTGAATAAATTCGTACAAAATTAGGTATTTATGAATAACCTAATCTAATATACTTAGATGACAAATTCGTAGAATCTTATCTCCTTTTTCATTATTATAATCACTGACACTGCCGACGACCACGGCGGCTATAGTATATTTGAGTGTTATAAATAAATATCATAATCTTATAACAAGTATTGTACAAATCACAAATGTTTCAAATATAACTTAAAACCGACATTGCTGGGATGTTGAAAACATCAAATGTTTAATGGGGAATGTATACAATTAACAAATTAACTGTTGTTCTAGAACAGTGATTCTTAACCGGTGTTCCGCAGAACACTGGTACCTACTTCGTGTACTTGGCTAAAGTGTTCCGTCAAAATTACAAAATTGGCGAAAAAAAATTATAAAATTATTGTTAATTAAAATTCTTCTTCTTCTTCCTTTGGCTTAATATACTCTACAAGAGTTTTTGCCGCCATCACAACTTCACGCCACTTTTCTCTAACATGTATTATATTTCTCCAATCATTTACTCTTATCCTTTTTAATTCTTTCTCGACTACAACCATCCATTTTTTTCTCGAGCGTCCTCTTGGTCTCCTACCCGTCGGTTTCCAAGACATTACTGTTTTAATTATCTTCACATCATTTCCACGCATAATGTACCCAAACCACTGGATTCTCTGGCCTCTAATGTAATATTTAATTGGAGTCATTAAATTAATTAAAATTATTGAAATAATTTAATTTTCCGTTTCATCGTTTTCAATAATTGTATAATAACAACCATAGGTGGACATTTGGTTGAAATTTTGGGGAGACTATAATAATTCAATGTAAAATAATCCGCACTCCCTTCCCATACACAAGTAAAATGTATTACTATTAAAAATATAGATAGGTATGTTTGAATTGTATTAAAAAAACACTAAATAACGTATATTTAAAAACAATTAATATTTTATTTTAATGACACATATCTATTAGTATCAGCAAAGATATTTAAAATATCATTGCTTTTTATATTTTTCGATATATCTTTTTCAATATATAGTATTGAAAGATCGCTGAACCTATCTTGAACAAACGATGCCTTTAGCCAAGTTTTTATTTTTTTCGTTGCACTAAAACTTCTTTCGCAAGTAGCCAAATTAATTAGTATTGTTAATGCTATTGTGAATAGTTTTTATTATTTCTTATTTTACGATTTTCAAAAAAACGAACATATAGTTATAAAAACAACGAATAACATTTTTAAAAATGTTTAGATTTTAGAGGGGCTATTTAAATATTTGGAAAGCCAAGTCCCCCTCCCCACAATGTCTGCCTTTGATTACAACACAATGAATTAGTATTTTTGGTTAAAAACGTAAATTATTGTAAAATAATATACAAACATTTTGTCATCGCGTGTTCGTTAATGTTGCATCCATACGACGATAACAGAAATAGATTAGACATAGACTTTGATCGATTGCAGATAGTAGAAATGTAAAAGAAATACTTAGCACACAATTAGTATGATTCCGGTTGTATGTGATACAATTAGTTATAAATAGATACAATATGTTTGATGTAATATTATATTTCTGCATAATATTTTTATTTATTTTATCGATCGCAATATACGAATTTCTTTATGAATAATTTGATTTTTCTTTAAGTACCGAGTGAAACTATTTAGACATATTTTATTTTATATTATCTTTAGAGTACATTTATTAATTTATCAAAATATAATATTTTATAATACCTAATACAATATTATAAAAATAATTATTTAAAACTGCAACATGGATAAATTTATAAAACGAAAATATGATTCAAGCACTAATAATAGGTACCAACGTACGTACAAGCAATATTAATAATGATGTAAATACTTTTTAAGAGAGAAAACAAAATAAGAAAAGTCAATAGACAATATTGCAATGATTATTTAGGTATCGGATTTACTTATATTATTAAAAATGATTGTCAAATACCTTTTTGTGTGGTTTGTGGAGAAAAACTCTGCAATAGTGCAATGGTACCAGCAAAATTATAACACCATTTTACATCTCAACATACTAAACTCCAGTCCAAAGATAAGAATTATTTTGGCAGATTATTAAAAAGTCAAATTGTTTAAAGAAGAAAAATTTGAAAAAAAAAATAACAATACCAAATAAAGCACAAATATATCGCAACGTATAAAGTTGCCGAAATAATTAAAAAAAAATGTAAAACCACACATCATAACAGAGAGCTTAATTTTGCTAGTATGTTCAGAAATAGTTCAAATTATGTTTGGCGGTGACACAAAAAATGAAATTATGAAAATTCCGCATTTAGACGACACAATAAAAAACAGAATTATACTTATGTTAGATGATATTGAGAAAACAGTTTTTAATACACTTTCCAAATCATATATATATAGCCTTACAAATATATGAGTCAACTGATATCAGTAGTATAGCTCACGTACTAGGATTTATTCGTTTCATTAATTAAAACAAAATACTGAATCAACTTTTATGCTGCAGACAACTTACAGAACGCACGACAGGACAGAATGTCTTTGACTTTATTTCATCATATTTATATCAATTTAATCTAATATAGGACCAATGTGTAGGAATCTGGTCAGACAGTGTACAACGGTACTCCTTCTATGGTTGGTTCTTTATATACTAATGTTAAATAACAATATCAATACAATTCATATTCTTAGAAATTGATAATATGATTAATTTATAGCAATGTTATTTTAACTATTATACAATCTACACATATTATTCTTAATTAATACAATCTATAACATTACATACATCACGTGATACTACATTCCTCCCAGCATAAGTGAATTATTATATTTTGAAAATGTGATAATTCGCTTAAAAATACATAGTAATTACTGATGTATGTTTACAATTATTATATTTATTACATACTTTTCCTTACTAAGTTACTAGGTCCCATTTTATTCATAAATATATTAAAAATACATTTTGTACATGTTACATTCGTAACAAGATCGTATGTGTAATTTACTTTATGTTGTCTATTACACATCAAATTGTGGGTGATTGTTAACTCCTTCAGAATATCGATTAAGATAAAAAGGTAATAAAAGGTCTAATGTATATTCCTACAGTTTTTTTTTTTTTTTGTATTTTGGCAGTGAATCCTTTCATAGACGTCATCTAAGAAATTCGTTTTATAAAAGTCAACCGAATGTTCAGATTTTTAGTAAAGTTCTTACCGAATTGCAAACCCATACTCAAATAAAATTAAATGGTATATCTCAAGTAAATAAGCTAAAAAAATCGAAAAAAAAAAATGTACAGTGTTACAGTACACTAATAGAGTAATACAAGACTTAAAATATTTACAAATTATCACATCATTTTGGTTTACATACATAACTATTTATTTTTGGATTATTAGGTATAACGATTATTTATTATGATTTTTTTTTTTTTTACTGTGATTAAAATATTTTATGTAAACAATGTGATATTATATTATATTATAATTTTTTTTTTATAATATATCATATTAATTTTATACTACTGCTTGATTTTCTTTACTGGCAGAATTTATATGAACCCAATTTTACATTTTTTTTTCTGGCAGGTTTTACAGTAAAAAAAGGTACTTGTGGAAAAGTTTACATGTGCCCTAAATTGTGAGTCTTATCCAAATTCAATTGTCTGCTATTATTATTTTTTAATTACCTCAATTGGAAATTGTGTTTGTTTCGTAAGTGTTAATTTTATAATATTTATCTCTTATAATTTAGTGTTATTTATTACAGTGTGATGTATTTACCCTAATGTTACAAATGCATATTCAATAATTAATAAATCATATAAATCATATACATCTCTTATTGCAAATTCTTTTCTCATCATTTCCAATGCATTATTTGACCTATTTTCAAAAATTATCATTGTATCATTTAAATTATTAATTAGGTGTTGTACATTTTCTGATAATTTGGACATAATTGATAATTGAATTTCAATAATTCTTTCGTGTTTATCTAATGTGCCCATTGTAATTATATTTTTTCATTTCTAAAATTTGATTATTATTATTTTCCATGCATTTTTTATCACATATGCCAAAAAAGCATTGTCTAATATACCTACTGAATTATATACTTCCCTTTTGAATCCGTCTGATAATTTTTTGTTCAATCTATCCCTTCTATGTTTTATTTCTAAGTTAAGGTTTTTCATTATGTTATTAAATTTTTCACAGTCAAAACTAGCATTAGTTTTTTGACAAAATTTCTTTACTATCTCCCTAAAATTGTTATAGTGTTTTGTTGGTTGTCATATTTACTGAAATCAAATTAAATGAATTAAATTAAATTAAAAAATTAAAAATTAAATGTTAAATTAAATTAAATATTTATTTAATATTTTATTTAATTATTAAATTAAATGTTGTAAATGTTCATTATTTTTGTATTATGTTTAGCTTACCATAGTTTTCGAAATTAATCCCGCTGGTGTTGTTATGTTGTCATTTTTTATCTCTGTATTTGTAAGTTCAATAAATCCCAAGATTGTAAATAATCTGAAATTTACTTTTAGTTTATTATTTAGTTTCATAATATTTTTTATATTATTTATGTATAATCAAATATTTTTATTTTTTATTCTTACGTTTTTTTTATCATATTTTTTTATTACTACATACGGCCCTAACTATTTTGGTGATAATTTATTTTTCGGTTGATTATTTTTCATTAATACCTTATCTCTTATGTTAAATATTAATTTATTTGTATTTTTTTATAATTATTTATTTTTGTTTTTATTTTCAATTAATTTTTCTCTTGCGATTTTATGTGTGTATTGTAATTTGTTTTTCATATCAAATGTATAATTGTCATAATTATACAGTGGTTCTGGATTTTTTGTTATTGACGATGGAATTTGTGTATACCGAATACTAATTCCTGTGATGTGAAATTTGTAGAAGTATGAAGTGTTGTATTATAAATATGCATTGCGAATTTTACGAATGTATCCCAATTTAATTGCTCTTTATAAACAAAATTTCTTAAATAATCATTTAATGTGATCTTTCTAATTCTCCGTGACCAGCTGGATTATAAGAAGTAGCAGAGACGGTTTGAAAATTTTCAGCTGATAGTTCAAGAGTACTTAAGACCATCTACCCAATGGCGCCGATCCCTATATCCAAGTATGGCGACTGCCATAGTGAATTATGTGGTGGGGGGGGGGGGGTACTGGGTGCTGGGTAGGTGATACATAGCGTGGTACCCACAGCCCATACATAAAATGTACTATGAAAGT